CCCTCTCACCACCCCGCGACCTAGGGCGACACCCGCGTGTTCCTGTATGAGCTGCTCCCGGAGGCTCCTTTCTTCCTGGAGTGCAATAGCTTCACCTCACCGGACCCCCACAAGGTGAGGGGCACTCCCTAGTCCTCCTTTCTCTGGAGGACACTGAGCTCCCTTGCCCTCTCCTGGCCAGATGGGGAAGCGCAGGGGCCTGTGAGGTCAGCAGGTCACTGGGCCAGGGCGGGCTGGCAGCTCTCTGGAGCTGGCTATTAAACTCTACCGCTATTAAAAATTAATCCATAAAATCTTAAGTTATATGAACCTACAAATAAATTACATTAAAAACCAGGGCAGTAAACATCCAGTGTATCATTTCTTACTCATTTTAGCTGATCTTACAGCTGATTTTGTGCTGCCAGGCTTACTTAGTACATCTGTGGGAGCTGTCAGTGGAGACACCCTCTGGGGCTACCACACGCATCCCCCCAGCTCTGCACTGAACACGTTCTGTCTGTAGCGTGAAGTCGCCATCAGGGCTACCCGTCGGGGTGTCTTTCCTCCAGAGAGCTCGCAGTTGAGCGCTGCCAGCACCCTGAGGTTCGGGGACAGGCTGCGGTGCTGGCACTCCAGGAGGGCCCCGGTGGCAGCTCAGACTCCCCTGTTCTCCCAGGGCTTCATCCTCCTGCCCAAGACGGAGTGTGACGTGCGGGAAGTAGAGTTTGCCCGATGCCTGCGGCTTCGCCAGACCTCCCTGGAGCCTGTCGCCTTCCGGCTACCCCGAGTCAGGGTGCGGTTAGGGGCCTGGCACCCAACACCTAGTCCCCCTTCCCAACCCCTGTCAGGAGCTTTGGAGCCTGACTGGCCCTGTCACCAAACAGTCCCAGTTCACTACTCTTTGGGGCACCTGTACCGCTTACTCTGCTGAGATTCTGAAACTGGCAGAAAGCCTAGCCCGGGGTCCTGGGTCTTACCTTAACACCTTCCCAAGGGATGCTGGTGTGCCCTGGGCCTCTAGTTGGTGCTTGCGGGTAGCCGCTTCCTTCTTCCCTACAGAAAGAGTTCTTCCAGGATGATGTCTTCCCAGACACAGCCGTGAGCTGGGAGCCGGTGCTCAGTGCCAGCGCCTGGCTGGGCGGTGCCGATGGGCAGCTCCGGCTTCTCAGTCTGCAGCCCCCTGGCATGACCCCAGGTAGGATGAGGAGCTGGGGGGTGGTGAGCGGGAAGCAGGGGAGTGGGTAGGGATTGGGGAAAGGGGCAAATGGCCAAGTCCAAGGTCCCCCTGTCCCTGATGGGACACAGGACCCCCTGGCATTCCCAAGGATGGGGTGCTTGCATTTCCAGGCTCAGACTCTGAGCCCTTTGAGGACAGAGCACAGGGTCTGTGTTTCCACCACATTTCCAACCCTGACAGGAACACACGCATGTGCATACAGGCACGCACACTGCCAGGTGCCCCCAAGGGGCCTTGTGAACAGAGAGTGGAGTAGCTGTTGTTGCCCCCTCTGGCGTCTCTGCCCCAGGATTCAAGGGCTGGGCAAGCAGTCCTCACCGGGGGGATTCTCTGATGTCTGATGCCTGTCCCTCCCCCACCCCAGTGAGCCAGGCCCCCCGTGAAGCCCCTGCCCGACGGGTCCCACCCTCAGCGCTCTACCTGGAAGAGAAGTCGGACCAGCAAAAGAAGGAAGAGGTAGGCACAGGACACAGTTGGCCAGTGTGGCACACACAGGGTCCTGGCTACACCTGGTGACTGGCTTCCTGTTCTCTAGTCCAGCCCAAGCTGGGGCAGGAGCTGGTGTCATCCCTCACTCGGTTGGGCAGCTTGATGGGGAGAACTTCCAGAGCTCTGCACCTGACCCATGGGGCAGGGGACTCAGGAAGCCAGGGAAGGGCAGAAAGAGGTCCCTATCCGGCCTGGCCCAACAGAGCCAAGGCTTTGAGACCCAGATGTGTTTGGGACCCTGGCACACATTTGAGTCTGAGGCAGTGTGCGGAGACAGCTGCCCTGGGACTCCAGTGCTGTGTGTCCATCTGCCTCTGGCTCCCTGATCCCGGATGAGGTTTCTTTTTCTGTGAAAGCATCCACTTTGTTAGATGAAATGGCTCTTTTCACAATCTTGATGGGGTTCAAACTGTGAGGTCCTGTGTTCTGGGCTTGGAAGTCCTGTCCTGTTGCCTTCCCAACTCTTCTCCTGTCCGGTCTCCTAGCTGCTGAATGCCATGGTGGCCAAGCTAGGGAACCGGGAGGATCCGCTCCCCCAGGACTCCTTTGAAGGTGTGGACGAGGACGAGTGGGTGAGTAGAGAAGAGGGCCTTGGCATCACCTCCCTCCCTCCGTCACCTTGCAGCCGACACCCCCCACCCTTCCCCAGACCTCTCACCCCCCACCCCCTTGGTTTATCTCCCCAGGACTAGCCTGCCCACCACTACCTCTAGCCTCACCGGCCGCTGCCACCTCCTAGAACCACCTGGCGTGGTGCCCCCTGCACACCTCACATATCACCCTCCAACTGGGAGAGGCCTTTTGGCCCTGGCACACTTTATCCCAAAGCCCTGGCTTCCTTTGATCCTTGGGGACTTCTCCGGCCTCTGGGCCCCACTGCAGCCCCCGTGGATTGTCTGCACCTCTGCTTTCTGTGGGACTGGCTGCTTCTCCTCAGCTGTCTGCTAGCATGGGGAGCCAGGGGTGTGGGCGTAGGGGGGGTAGTGGGGGTCAGTAGCACGCCCCTGGGCTGGTCCCAGCCTGGGCTGGCTTCGCCCAGCACCTTCAGTTGTTACACGCTGTCCTCTCTCGCCTGCTGCCCCACTTCTCGTCAGGAGTCTTGGGGGCTGGCCTCCTGCCAGGCCATTTGGAGCAGCTCCAGTCTCAGGGGCCAGGGACCAGTTGCCCTCCTCCTCAGCTCTGAAACCAGGAGAAAGGGGCATTACAGAGCCGAGGGCCCAATTCAGGGGGCTGTAAACCCCTCAGGGACTGGCCTGAGTATACCCTGGATGTTTTCAGCAATTAAACTTTTTGAAGCTGGTGACCTCTTGAGCTGCTGTGGTCTTTTGGCTGATGGAAGGGGAAGGGAACAGAAGGATGGGTGAGGGAATTTGGCTCTGGGTTCCCCCTTGTCCCAGGCTTCACTTTGCTCCTGAGTTCTTTTCCGCTGCTACGAGTTCATTCATTCATCCAGCACGTAGGCAGTGCTGTGGATGGTAGACACAGTAATGAACAAGAGAGACGAGGCCTCTCGAGGTACTTGTTCCAGTGTTCTGTGCTGGGAAGCCAGACTGTGTGCAAGTAAGCAGATCATGAAGAAAGCCGTAAAGAAGACAAAACAGAGCCACCTGGCTGGTTCAGTTGGTAGAGCATGCAACTCTTGATCTCAGAGTAGTGAGTTAAACATGCGCCATGTTAGGCATAGAGATTACTTAATTAAGAAAAAAAAAAAGGAGGAGGGACAAATGTGGAAAGGGAACAGCCAAGATGTAGGGAGAGCAGGGTATTCAGAGTCTGAGAGGCAACCTTTAAGCCGAGAATTGAAACCCGAAGGCCACAGAGCCACAAGAAGAACATTTCAGACAAAAGAAAGGGCGGTCACCGCACTGAGGAAAGAATTTGGAGATTTGGAGGAAAGGGCAGTGGTCCAACACATTGTCCAAGGCAGCCTGACTTAACCTTCATTAGGGTTAGGTGTTGAGTACCTTCCCTTTGCCAGCCACCTGTCCAGGAGTGGAGAAAAGAGAAAAGGAATCTACATTCTAGTGGGAAGGAACAGGTTATAAACAGTGAACATAAATGAATTATAATAATACGGAAGAAGGTGATAAGTTTGGGGGGAAAAAAATAGAGGGGACTGAGAGCCAGACACAAAAAGTCACATACAGTGTGATTCCGCTCCCATGAGCTGTTCAGAACAGACCTGTCCAGGAGCACCTGGGTGGCTCAGTCAGGTAAGCATCGGCCTTCCACTCAGGTCATGATCCTGGGGTCCTGGGGTGGAGTCCTGCATCAGGCTCCCTGCCCAGCAGGGAGCCCGCTTCCCCTTCTCCCTCTGCCATTCCCCCTCACACCCCCTTATGATCTCTGGCTCTCTGTCAAGTAAAATCTTTAAAAAAAAAAGGGGGTCCCTGGGTGGCTCAGTGGGTTAAGGCCTCTGCCTTCGGCTCAGGTCACGTCCCGGGGTCCTGGGATCGAGCCCCGCATCGGGCTCCCTGCTCGGCAGGGAGCCTGCTTCCTCCTCTCTCTCTGCCTGCCTCTCTGCCTGCTTGTGATCTCTCTCTGTCAAATAAATAAATAAAATCTTTAAAAAAAAAAAATCTTAAAAAAAAAAAAAGTAACAAATCCAAAGGACAGGACAAAGCTTAGTGGTCACCTGGAGCTGGGGGAGGCAAGGGCGGGCAGTTTTTTGGGGGGGAGTTTAATGAAAATGTTCTGGTGTTCTAGTGGTGATGGTTGCACAACTCTGTGAGTACACTAAGAAGAACTGAATTGTGCGCTCTAAAACAGTGAACTTTATCTCAAAGCCATTACTAAAACACAATGCAGGGCGAGTTGCAGCGTTGGTGGGGGGCGGGGTGGGCCTCATTGAGGAGGTGACATTTGAGCAAGAACTTGAGGAGAGAGATGTCCTTTCCAGACAGAAGGAACCTAGAAGGAAAACCGTTTTGAAGTTTTCGGTTTTCTTATATATTTGTGAGGCTTCGGCACCCTACTCATGTTCGTGGGGTGTTTTATGTTTATTGCATATCCTTTAGGACGAAATATTTTGCCAAAACAAGGGAAGAAATTGCACCGCATTTGACAGATGTATTCATTCTGTCGCATCTAGCGCGGCCGGATAAACAGGAGGGCCACGGTGGGTCCTGGGACCGCCCATCGCCCGCCCCCGGTCGTCTTCTAAGCCGGAGTCCGAGGCCGACTCCGCCTCGGACTCCGCCCACTGGTTACATCCTACACAAGCCCCGCCCCCTTGGGCGGAGCAGTGCGCATGCCTAGTACGGCGTCACGCATGCGCTCTCTCCCTTGACCTCTGACCCGCCGGCCGCCCTTGAGTTGGAGCCGTGGGGCTAGGAAGCCGGAGCCCGCGACTCCGAGGCGGAGCGGCCACCATGGTGAGCCTCGGGTAGGGCCCTGCTGGGCGGGAAGGGAGGCCGTTTCGGGGCTGGGGTCGGGGCGGCGAGCTCCGGCCGGGCTGCGGGCGCGGCGCGCCGCCTACGTGCCCGGGGGGAATTAGGTCCGGGGGCGTCGCACCGGGAGGACTGCGGCGGGCTCTGGCGGCCCCGGGGCCACAGAAGGCAGGGCGGGCCTGGCCGGCCTGAAAATGCCCAGCAGAGGCGGTCGCCATGTGCGCACAGCCCCCGCGCGGGGACCTGGCCCGGGAGTCCCTGCGCAGGCTCGCAGCCAGTTGGTGGTATCTCCCTGTTACTGTCCCTCTTTGAAAGCTGACGAAACGGGCTCTGAGACTTTGCCAAGGAAGTAGCACATCCAGGGCTTGACCAGGCCCCGCGACACCGAAAGCTGAGCGTTTCTGCGGTACCATTGGCACCCGGAACCGGTCCAGAGACCTGGGCCGGACTGGCTGCGACAGGTCACCTGGGGACCTTTTAAAAATGCAGTGTCCTTAGTTCTGTCCACGGAGGTTCTAGAAGTCCCCCCAGGTGATTGAAGCAGTCGGTTTGGGGAGCCACTTCTTAACCAGTAGTAAGGATACCTTAAGAGCTTGCAGGTGCCAGGCCCTGAGCTGAGGCCTTATGTGGGTTCTCTCATTAATGCTTATGAAATTCGTATGGTCCTTGTCCTCTTTTCACTGAGAAGGACCCTGAATGCCAGGGAGTTTGATTCCTCCAGGGTCATTTCATCCAGTGGTGTCAGAGACGAGTGCAGACCAGGTCACTGCCGTGTTTTTGACGACCTACAATGAAGCCTTGAACCGGGTCCCTGTCATGCATTCCTGCGTGTCACGCTGAGCCACCCTCAAGGGCCAGATAAAATGTTGCTCTCGAGGAGTTTGTATCCTAAAGGAAGAATTGGGCAAGTCTGTAAAATATGACAGCGTGGTAATAGGATAAGATAGTGTTCTGAGATGGTTTCACTGGGGTGGGGAGCGGTACCATCTTGAAGGAGGTTGGGTTTTGACAGTATGAGAGTAGTAGGGAGGGCATTCAAGGTTAATGGGTATGGTGTTGGGGGGGTGATAAAATGTTCTGGAACTAGTGATACTGTACTTTTTAGTGTATTTACAGAGTTTGTGAATACACCAACATCGCTGAATATTTGAGAAGAGTGACTTGTGTGTGAATTGGGAGACATCGGGGTAAAAGTAGTAAGAGCTGATTTAAAAGTAGATGGTATGGCTGCAGGGCAGAGAGAGGTGAGGGGAGAGAAAACCAGAGAAGTTGTTTGTAGTTAGAGCTGAGGATGCCCGCCTAAGAAGTGGACTGAATTTGTAGGCAGTGGCTGTGGAGAGTTGTGTGGCAGAAGCCCTCCAGCAGAGGGAGCGGTGAGAACAGGAATTTGGAAACCCTGTCTGGGGGGCATAGAGTTTTTGCCAATGGTGAGCTGGTTGTCATATTCATACAAATGCCAGTCAGGCTGCCATGCCAGCCATAGGTGGGGGCCCCAGGCATACCATGGTCCTGACTGTTTTGCCTAGTTGTGATGCCAGAGGCTGTTTGCAGGGGCTCTGGGTGAACAAAGCCCCCCTCCTACCTCAGTGCATCCTTGAGAAGGAGGTTAGGCTCGGTGGCAGTCTCTGCCCACTGGCCCAAGAGCCTAGAACTGGGCTTTGAAGGGAACGTTGCACATGGGTCTTTCTGAAAGCCAGGTTCCTTTCTTGATGCACTTAACATGAGATAAGCCACGTTCCCAAATGTCCCCCAGTGCTTGCCTGTGTTCTTCTGCTCTGGTCCTGAGTTGGATGCCGTGTCAGCTGGTTGTTCTTGTCCAGGGTCTTCAGGCCCAAGTGTCAGTCAGTGGACTGTGGGATGTTTTGGGACTTTCTAGGAGAGGCCTCAGCTAGTGGCAGTCTTCCTCACTCCTTGTCACTAGAGAACTCTGAGCATGGCTGATCCGCAGCTGGCGCTGGGTACTGAATGAGCGGATGATCTCTAGACCAGCAGGGTCTCGTCCAGAAGCGAAGGTTAAGGTTGGGCTGCTTTGAACCTGCTACTGACTGCCTGGTTGGTTTTACGTGGATTGCCTCCTGAGGACCTTGCAGCCCTCCTGTGAGGAAGGTATTATTTTCCCCAATTTGCAGATGAGAAAACTGAGGTTCTAAGTGGTTGAGTAATTTGCCCAGGGCCACACAGCTAACTAGAAAACAAGCCAGGAGTCCAGGTTATAGCTCCAAAGCAGCCTTCTCCCTCCTCTTCCACACTGCTTCTCACTGCCTTGGCACATAGCCTGGTTTTTTGCAGCCTTCTCCCCTGAGGAATCAGCGGATATGTCAAATGAGTTGCCTCATTGGGAAAAGCTGTTACTCCATAGTGTCTGACCTTTGTTAAGTTTTGTGAAACAAAGAAGTGTAATAGATGAAAAGCAACGTTTATTGAGCACCTACTATATCATCAGGTTCTGTGCCAGACACTTTACAAGCATTACGTAATCGAATCCCTGACAGCCCTATTGTTGGGCACATTTCACAGGGGAGGAAACAGGCTGAGGGAACCTGAAAGTTTGTGTCAGGCACACAGCTGGAATTTGCACACAGGTGATCCCAGAGGTTGCCTTTATGACCACACACCATACTTCCTCCCCTGGAGAGGCCTCAGCGGGCCAGCCAGGCAGCCCGCTTAGCCAGCCGGGATGGCCTCTGAAACCGCAGGCCCCCTCAAGCCACTGTGCAGCCGTGGCGCTCCAGCAGTGGGAGTGACTGGGCTGCAGTGGTCTGAAGTCTGCCGTTGTGGCTGGGGAGCTGCCCCTCTACCTTCTCAGTAGTACCTTCTCAACGTTCACTACTGAGCAGCAGCCACTGCTCCGGGCGGAGAAGTCAGTGGGCAGTACCAGCCAGAGCTGTGGGGCTGCCCTTGGGCATGTGGTAGCAGATGAACAGATGGTCTGAGGCCTGAAGGGAGCCCTCTGAAGTCACCTACGGGCCTGTCACCCTCTCTGTGCCCCAGACAGGACCAGCAGTCCATCCAGGAACCTCCTCTCCCACTCGGGAGGGGCTTTGGGCATGGAAGGAGACATTAGGCAACTTCCCAACCTGAAGTGTGCCCCGTGTTTGTCTTGCCACCCACAGCACAGCTGGCTGTGGCCCTGCCCCCTCCCTTTGATCACTAAAGAGTCCTCACTGAGCTTTGCTTTCTGGTGTGAAATACAGGGCTTAGGAAATTTCTACTTAGTTGTGAAATCCAACCCCACTTCCATTTATTAGTTACTGCTAGCGTCCCAGAACCAACATCCCACTCCGCCCATAAGGGCAGGTTCACTGGAAGCCAAACCAGGCCAGTTCGGGAGTCTGGATTCCACTGGAATCTGACGAGCCCCTCTTTGGCCTTTGGGCTGGGTTCTTGGTCCTGGTCAGGTGCTCACTTGCCCTCCCTGCAGGATCCTGTGTGGGGTGGGCAGCCTGGAGATGCCACGGCAAACAGCGCCAGTTTGGGGTTTCCTACCCACCTTCCCCTTGAGGACTAGCCATGTCCTCAGGCTGATCATAAAACCTCTCTGTGCCTTGGTATCTTGAATTTTGGGGTTGAATAGCACAGTAAGTAGAATACGGTGACTGGCACCCAGGCTCGGTTGATACCTGTTGAGTGACAACATCTGACGACAGAGGAGTGCAAAAAAGAGAAAGGGAAACCACGGGAGGGTGCCCGTGAGCAGTGTCGACCTGCAGTGAGTGCTCTCTGGGTCCTCCGCGCACCCTGCTTTGTGCCATTGCACACACAGGGCCCAGGGCCATTTCCACATGTGCTGTTTGTACGTAATCTCTGTTCTCAGTCAGTCTGTACAGTTTCCTGTCTCAGCCATCTTTTTAGCCTTAACCTCTAACGACCTTACACGTCCCCTGTGCTCTGGGTTGCTCCCAGGACAACCTTTACACTTTCTCCTGTTGGGCTCGCCCTGGTCCCACTGCCTAGAAAGCCCTGATACTCCCTTTGTGATTCCATCTACCCTCAAAATCCAGCCCAGGAGAAATATCTTTTCCCTGAGTTTCCATCTCATCTTGAGGCTTTCTTCCATGGCCTTTCTGTCCTCTTGGGCGTGCTTCATAAGACTCTTCTGTACTGGGTTAGAAAACCGTGCTGCGCCAGTGTAGACGCTTCCCCACTGGGGGGTCAGTGTGCAGGAGCTCCGAGGGCACGGCTGGCTTCCGTGGATCCTTGTAGGCTGGGTACTGAGCAGAGCTTAGCGGACTCTGCACGGGCTTGAACCAGTGGAGGAGCTGGTGGCCAGTCCTGTTCTCCCTCAGCAGCTGGCCCTCCGTATCTTTGCCTCAGTACCCCGCCCCGCCCCACCGTGGGCTTTTTGCTGCTTGAAGGTGGAGAGTCTTGTTCACTTTTGTTGTGTTGATGGGAAGGGTGGTCACTAGTCTTGGGAACTGAGGTGGCTCCAGGCTCCCTGAGTTTCCTGGCTGGTTGAACAGAGGTGGGAGCTGCCAGTCTCAGGAGCTCAGAAGAGACGTGCAGGGCAAGTTAATGGTCTGGGCACAGCCTCTGGGCCCTGCAGCCCCATCACCTCAGCTCCTCCCCTCCTGTGTGAAGGCCGTTGGTGGGGGGCTGGGGGCTTCCTGTCTGTCCCTGGGGACTCCCTCGGGTTCACCCCCAGCCGTCTGTCCGGTGAGCCCCTGAACCACCCAGGGCAGAGGCTCTTTTTCAGGGTATTTGGAACAAGTCGCCTGTGACTGCTGCTCTGTGCTTCATCACCTCCGAGACCTTGTCACTTGGAAGCCTTTTCCAGGGTCCCATCTCTAGAATGCAGCCTGCTAACCAGGTACCTGCTTTGTCCACAGGCCAAGTACCTGGCCCAGATCATTGTGATGGGGGCGCAGGTGGCGGGCAGGGCCTTCGCACGGGCGCTGCGGCAGGAGTTTGCAGGTAAGGCTCGGGGTGCTTGTCGCTCCTGCCCAGGTCACATTTTCCCACCTGTGGCCGCTCACCACGGGCCCACAGTGAATGCAGGGACCTCAGCAGCCTGGGGCATTTTCCGGGGGTGGGGGACATCATTGGATTTTGGGACATTCTCATGAAAGGGAAACTTGGGGGGCGCCTGGGTGGCTCAGTGGGTTAAAGCCTCTGCCTTCGGCTCGGGTCGTGATCTCAGGGTCCTGGGATCGAGCCCCGCATCAGACTCTGCTCAGAAGGGAGCCTGCTTCCCCCTCTCTCTCTGCCTGCCTCTCTGCCTACTTGTGATCTCCGTCTGTCAAATAAATAAAAATAAATAAAATCTTTTAAAAAAAAAAAGAGGGAAACTTGGTTGACGTGAACACGGAGGCAGGAGGTGGCAAGCTTGCTCGCCGGGCCACCTGTTTTTGTAAACAGTTTTACTGGAACACAGCCCTACCCTCTGGTTGCTTACAAGGCAAAGTCACGTAATTGCAACACAGACTCTAATTGCTCTGCAAAGCCTAAAACGTTTATTCTTTGACCCTTTAAGAAAAAGTTTGGTGGCTTCTGATTCTAGGGTCACTGAAATGGAAAAGGTCACCTGAGCCACTTGCTTTGCTGTCTAGGTAACTGGTGGGCGGCCGGGTCTCACCTGAGCTGTTATTACCTCTTCCTACTTACAGCTTCGTCCTGCTTCCCATTGTAGCCTAAAGCTCCCCAACTTGCTGTCACTTGGGATGAGGGGTCAGGGGAGAGGGGAGGGACAGGGCCATCTCATGGTCTTGGTTGGCACCAGGTACCAGGGTTGGGGACCAGAACCTGTCCCTGTCCTCCAGTGGGCTCAGTCTTCACTTCATAGACTCCCCACCCAACCCTCCCAAAATATCCACTTCTGGAAAGGGGATGTACCCCGTTCCTGCGCGTGTCTTCTCCCATGCCCACTGGCAGGCTGTGCTGCCTACATGGAAGGCCCAAGGGAACCTTTGGGCCTCTGAGGGCTGAGCACTCACCAGTGTGTCCACACAGCCAGCCGGGCAGCAGCTGATGCGCGAGGACGTGCTGGACACCAGTCTGCAGCTGCCTCTAACCTGTCCGGCCTCAGCCTCCAGGAGGCCCAGCAGATTCTCAATGTCTCCAAGCTGAACCCTGAGGAGATCCAGAAGGTGAGACTACCAGGCTGGCTCGGAGGTGGGTCTTGCCTGGGCAGACCAGAATGGCAGGCCGAGGGGCCGGGCCACCAGGATCAGGAGGAGGGAAGGTGGCCCGGCGGAAAGAGGCGGGTGTGGAGGCTGTGGCTGCAGCCGCTTGGACCCCAAGTGGTGGGAGCCGCTTGTCACTCCATTTTTAGGCCCGAAGCAGGCAGTGGCACAGAACTCCTTCCCCCCGTGGGCACCTGTCCACTTCTCTGTCCCCTAGCAGTGACAGTGGCTTCCGGGGTTGCATAGGGGGACACGTGGGGCGTCAGGGTTGAACCCTCTGGCTTTCCTTCTTTGTCATTTCCTAGCTTCCCCTGCCTCTGTAACCCAGAGACCGCACACCCTCTCACCGTCTCCCCTCCTCTGCAGAACTACGAACACCTATTCAAGGTGAACGATAAGTCCGTGGGTGGCTCCTTCTACCTGCAGTCCAAGGTGAGTGCTCTTCGATGCTGGAAGAGGAGGGCACGCAAGGGGGGGGCCTCTTCTCACTGGGGCCCCTCATTTCTAGGCAGTTCAGAACTTGGCAGGCAGGAAGTTGTGCCGGGCCTTTCCTTGGTGCCCCAGCCTCAGGGAGTACCCCCTAAACTGCCGTTCCCTCCAGCTGCCTCAGCTCCATGGGGCCTAGCCGCTTGGGCTGAATTGCCTGGGCCCTATGTCACCCAGACAGTGGCCCTCCCAGCAGCCATGGCTTTGAGGTAACAGGACCACTAGCTGATAGACAGCAGGGTGTGCCTGGGCCCTGTCCCCCCTGGGAGTGCTGGGCACTGATAAAGGAAGCACTTGTGTTTCCCAAGCTGTTAGCTTAGACATGCCTGCTGCTGTGCAGGGCCTGGGACGGGCAGAGGCCCATCTCACTCACTGTCCTGCCTGGTTCTAATTCCTCCCCCAGGTGGTCCGAGCCTGGGAGCGCCTGCAGGAGGAGCTCAGGATCCAGGCCCAGGAGAAAAGAGAGAAGGAACAGATGCCCAAAACGTGACCGCTCAGCTCGCCCCACTGCACCCAGCCCACCTCCTTTAATTTATAGTTTGGTAATAAATGTCCTTTCTGCATTTCTCAATGCACACATCCAGATTCCAGCCAGTCCTGCCCCCCTGGTGCCAGGCCCCTCCTGCAGCATCAGTGTCCTTAGGTCTCCCTCACCCTTCCCAGGAGGTACAGAGCCCTGCACCCCCGGCTCTGCCACAGGCCGCCTCTCCCTGAGCAGGGTTTCATGCTAGCATCTCTGGAATCTGGGTGGAATGTTCCAGTGCCACCAGGAAAGAGAAGCCTTCACCAGACTCTCATTGGACCGAGGCCAGGGAGTTGTGTCTCCCCCAGAACGAAGGCTTAGCTCACCAAAGTCACAGCAGGTAGTGGCAGGGTGAGGACCTGAACCCATGATACTTATCCAGAATCTTCTCTCTCTGCTCCCTCCAGCACTTGCCCCCTCCCAGCTCCCAGCAGTAGACCTGGCAGTAGTGGCAGCCGCAGGGTTGGAAGGAAGCCCTGGAATGGGGTCTCTGGGTGCTGCCTGCTGGGGGTAGGAGACCCAGGCCAGGCATAAGATGGTTGGTCAGAGTTCTCGAGCAGGGAGGCTCCACTCGTGGCATAGCCAAGACAGAAACCATCTTTGCAACTCACTTTTATTGTTTCTTTATAAACTTCCTCTCACATGGAGGAATATATTGTTATAGTCATTAGCTTATCTCTTTTTTTTTTTAAACTCTATGCTAACAGCAATGGAGCCAAGAGGAGGAAAAACGTAAGCTACGATAGAAAGGCACTTAGAACCTGTTAAAATACTGATATCCTGGAATGTGCAACAACAAACCCACAACAACAACACGTACACCAGCCCTTTCGAGCCTGGTCTATCACCAAGTCACATGCTGAGCTAACGTCACCTTCCAGTGCCCTGTTCCTCTGCTCCCTGGGCTTGAGTCTCAGAGCCCTGGCCCCCAGCTGGGGACTTAAGGCCAGGGTCCTGGGTGGGACCTGAGGAAAGGAGACCAGCTCCCTCCTGTTCTGCTCACAGCCCCTTCAAGGGGCGGAGCCAGCACTGCCAGGCCCTGTTAGGGCACCCCCTCTAGGACAGAAGGGCAGTTGGGAGAGGGTAGAGTCCGCAGGGCTGCTGAGCACCCCCTGCTGGCCCGCAGCCTCCAGTTCTACAGCAGGGGAAACGGAGTGCTTGGTCATGTGGCTGAGGGGCCAGGAGTCCTGGCTGCTGGGCCAGCGCCTCCCAGGCGGGACCAGGCCACCTCCAGAGAGGGAGCAGCGAGGATTCAGGGTGAGGGGAAGCATCTGCCGGGGCCCCGAGGCCTGGTGGGATCGGGCAGTGGGCTGTGGGGCACATGGAGCACCAGCATCCTTAGCTTATTCTGGCCTGTGCCATGGGGGAGGTGGTGGGCAGGGGTGGGGACACCTCTAAGACAGAGGCTCTGGGAAATAGCCAACAGACACAACCATGTCTTAAATCCAGGCTCCTTCCTCTAGCTTCCCCTTCCCAGGCAGAGGGCTTGGGCGCTCCTGTGGCCATCCTTGGTTGCTTCTCCACCCTCAAGCCCAGGGCTTTCAGTCCATGGCCTCTGGAAAGCTCCCATGCCCAGCACTGGCCTGGAGCCCTACCCCCCCCCCCCATGTGCTTGGTTGTGACTTGACACCCCCAGAATAGGAGCTGTGTCCCAGCCTGGGGTTGTCCCTGGCCAGCCTCCCACCTCCTGACACCCTGCAAACGCCCATAGTCCCTTGTGCAGAGCGGCACTACCCCAAGCCAAGCCCTGCCCCACCTGTTCCCTGAGCCAAGCGAGGGCCCGGCGTCCTGGCATCTCCCCTCCTCGCTCAGGGCTCCACTGCCCACGCTCCCAGGGCTCCCTGAAAGTAGAGGGAGAAGGCCCAGCAGTGAAGGGGCAGGTGAGTGGTCAGCAGTCCCCTCACTGTGGAGAGCATCCAGCCCAGGGAAAGGGCCGAGCCTCAGGTAGTGCTGGCTGTTTTTGGACGGGCTAGTAGTGAGGGGCAGCTGGCAGAGCGGGCCTCCCTCTCTGAGTTTGGAGGCGCCTTGTCATAGGGATAAGGTGGCTTCTTCCTGTGGCTTTGCCTGCGTCTGTCTTGCTCTCCCTCTGGAGGGTGGGCCAGAGGGAAAGGGGTCCAAGAAGCCCCAAGAACAGGGGCCCCGAGAGGCTAGGCAGGATGGGGACATGGCTGGCAGGTAGGCAAGGCAGGGAGGGAGGATGACCTACCCAGGCTGGTGAATGGATGAGGGAGGCACGGGGTGGGGGAGGGTAGCCTGGGAGACTGAGGGCTAAATGGAGGACAGGGCAGGGGGAGGGCCAGAGGCGAGCGAGGCCTTAGCACCCAGGAGCATGGCTCACCCTGGCTGGCAGCACCAGCCCCTGTTCCGGAGCCTGGGACACCACCAATGACCTTCTAGCACCATCCTTGCTGCCCAGCTTATCTGGGGCTAGGTCTGCCTGGGGGACCCAGCCAACCAGGCCCCGGGGGCAGGAGGACATTATTGCTATTTCGCAGAAAAGTTTCCGTTCGTCAGGGGCAGGGTCGGGAGCTGCTAGCCGGGCTGCGGGTAGCCGTCCAGCAGGCAGGTTCAGTTCACCACGGCTGGCTTGAGCAGCACAGAGCCCGGCGGAATGACCACCCAACCAGGGGCAAGTGCCTCCGGGCTGCTGGCTGCCGAGCTGACGCCTGTGGACAGGTCCAGCGCAGTGCCTGGCAGCAGGGGGAGTCCGTCAGGGCTTGGCCGGGAGCGGCTGCTCTCAGTCCTCTCCAGGGGCGTCTTGTGGCCCTCCATGCCCAGAGACCTGGGTGGCACTGCCCCACGCCCCTTCTCCCCCTCAGCCTTGCCGCCAGCGGAGCCAGCGAGGAGGGAGACCACAGGCAGGCCCAGTCCACCAGCCCCAAAGGGTGAGGGCAGAAGCGGGTTCTTAGCCAGATTGAGGGGCAAGACAGGGCCTGGCAGCCCAGGGCCCATGCCGCCCGGCCCCCCCCCACCCCCGCCATTGCCACAGGCTAGGGCACTGAGGTCAAGGGGGCCGGGGGCCAGGGGCAGGGGCAGGCCGGGCAGGCCGGGGCCTCCGAAGAGGGCAGCAGGGTTGGGGATGATGATCTGGGCTCCGCTGACGTAGGGGCTGCCGTCAGGGGTGGGCAGTGGTGGTTTCGGGGGCGGGCGCAGTTGCAGGAGCTCTTGCTGCTCAGGAGACACGAAGTGGCCGTGGGCCTTGATGTGCTTGCGCAGCGAGCTGGGGTCCGTGTAGCGCTTGTGGCAGCCGGGCATCTTGCAGTAGTAGGGCTTGTCCACATAGTGGGTGCGCGTGTGCTTGAAGCGGTCGCTGGAGTTGGAGTAGCGCTTGTTGCAGCCCTCGTAGGGGCAGACATAGGGCTTCTCACCTGCGGGGCGGGGCGGGCATGAGGGGCCTCTGCGCACAAGGGGCAGCCCCAGGCCCCTCACCCTAGACCGAGGTCCCCCCGAGAGCACCGACTGTCCGATGGGAGGGGCAGTGTCCCCAGCACTGGCACGAGATCTGATCCCAGGTGCAGACGGCAGGGCACGGCCACGGAGAAGCTGGCCTGATCACCCCCCGCTCTGCTGTGGCCTGTGTGCGTGCCTTTGGCCTCAGTCCTGTGCTCTAAATTGGGGATGACAGTGACCACTTCGACAGGCAGGACTGCAGATCTGCTTAGATGCAGGGGGCCCTGGGGGCCCACAGTGAGCACTGCAGAATGTCCTGTACGCTGGATTTGGTCCTGGCGCAGCAGAATGCCTCCAGATTGACCCCATGTCTGGTAGCTGCTCCAGGCGGGGCGCCCTTGGCCTGCGGCTGGCCGGCAGCGAGATGTGCTGTGTGAGGGGAAGGGTGCGCGCCAGACTGCGCTCCCAGACTTTGTACAGAATTAACTCCTGTGTGTCACTGCTGGCTTTTTAATACATATGATTCAAGGAATTTCGTTACCATTCATCTCACCTATTCCTTTGTCCTTTCTTCAATGCAGCAATTAGGACTTCTTTTATTTTTTGGCGATTAGGAAGTTTAAAATTAGGTGTGTGGCCCTGTCGCCAGCGCCTGGGGTCGGCAGTGAGCACTGCCTAGTGGGCAGCACCCAGCGGATGGTCACGCTGACGAGGGTGCCGGGGCCACACAGAAGACGGATCCGAGGATCGTGCCCCCCGAGAGGCTTCCTGCCCCACCCCCCGTGCCCCCTCCCGGCTGCTCACCTGTGTGCGAGCGGTTGTGGATCTTCAGATTCTCCAGGCGGGAGAAGCTCTTGCTGCAGGTCGGGCAGCGGTGTGGCTTCTCGTTGGTGTGTGTGCGGATGTGGATGAGCATCTTGTACCTGCTCCCGGGAGGCCACAGGGGAGCTCGACGCCGCTCGCGGGACACCCAAACCTCCCTCCCGCTCCTCCCCAGCACCCTCCTCGCTCCCCCTCACCTGGCATTGAAGCCTCGGCCGTGGCGGGCACAGCCCTCCCAGTGGCAGCAGTACCCCGCGTCCTTCTCGGGCTTGACGTGGTGGTCGTTGACGTGATCCACCAGGTCTTGGAGGAGCTCGAAGAGTTGGTTACACTGCGGGGCCAGGGGGTGTTCTGAGTCTGCGTGGGGCCGCCCACCCCAGCCCCGGCCCCCATCTTCCTGGCCCCCCGCACTCACCTTGGCCCAGCGACACACCAGCTGTTTGGGCAGGGGGAGCTCTGGTGAGAGGCACTTGTCCTTGGGGGCGGTAAGGAAGGAGGAAGCAGGCAGGTGCAGGGCCCCCCCGGAGCCCAGAGGCAGGAAGAACTGGAAGGAACTGGGGACGCCATCCAGATAACGCAGTGGCTGGAAGTCCTGGGGGGCAGGCAGAAGGCAGAGTGGGCTAGTGCTCCCCGCTGGGCCAGCAGGCCCACACCTGCTCTGTCTCCTTCTGTGGCAGGTTGAGTTGTCCCAGTTCCGACCCCCTGTACCTGTGGCTGTGGGCCTAGTTGGAAACAGGGTGTCTGTAGATGGAATCAAGTCAGGAAGTCATACGGGGCGCTGGAGTGACTCGGTCGGCTAAGCATCTGACTCGGTTTCAGCTCAGGTCACGACCTCAGGGTTGTGAGATCAAATCCAGCTTGGGCTCCACACTGGGCATAGAGCCTGCTTATTAAGATTCCCTCTCTCCCTCTCTGTCCCCCACCTCCATTCTCTCCCTTTCTCTCTACCCCCACCTCTGCTCACTCTCTCTCTCTCTCTCTCCCTCTCAAAAAGAAAAGAAAAAAAAAAAAAAAGATCATACTGGATTGGGGAGAACTAAATCCAGTGACGGGTGTCTTCATAAGAGGAAGGGAGATTTGAACTCAGAAATACACAACAGAGGAAGAAGGCAAAGTAGCACCAGAGGCAGAGATTGGAATGACACAGCTACAAGGCAGGGGACACCGGGAGCCACCAGAAGCTGTAAAGAAGCAAGTAAAGATTCTTGCCCAGGGCCTTCGGAGGGAGCACAGCCCTGTCAATACCTTGATTTCAGACTTTAGCTTCCAGAACTGTGACAGAATAATACATTTCTGTTGTTCTAAGTCA